GGAGCTGCTGGGCCTTACGGAGTGCAAGCCGGCGGACACGCCTGGGAGCAAGGCCACGGGCAAGAGCGTCCGGGAGGCGCTGGATCCACTTCCACACGACGAGGCGAAGCTCTACCAGCAGGTCGCGGGGCTCGTCAACTACGTGGCGGTAGACAGGCCGGACATCCAGTTCGCGGTGAAGGTGATCCTCACGGACATGGGGAAGCCCACGGTCATCAGCATGCTTAGGCTGAGGCGGTGTGTGCGATATCTCCACGGTCGGCGCGAGCTCGGGTGGTTCTACGAGAAGCAGGAGATGCCCAAGGCGGTTCTCTACGAGACGGACTCGGACTGGGCAGAGGATGAGATCACGAGGAAATCGACCAGCTCCGTGTACGGCTTCTTCGGCAGCCACCTTCTGGAGACCCAGGTGGCGTCGCAGCCCGTCGTCGCGCTCAGCAGCGGAGAGGCCGAGTTCTATGCCATCGGCCGAGGCGCGGCGAGTGCGATCATGATGCGGCAGTTCTACCAGCAGTGCGGCATCGAGGTCGCGTCGAAGGTTCACAGCGACTCGAATGCAGGCAGGGCGATCGCGACGCGGATCGGCAGTGGCAAAGTACGGCATCTACAGATACGAGACCTGTGGGTGCAGGAACGAGTCAGGCTCGGCGAGTTACAGCTCGGGCGAGTCGACACGGAGAGCAACAGGAGCGACTTGGGGACCAAGCATCTGGACGGCAAGCGGGTGCTCAAGTTGCTGGAGATGTCCAACCTGCGGCTTCTGACCAAGGGGCTCGCCGCGGGCGTGGGCGTCACTTTCACGGAGGCGGCCGAGCATGGAGACAAGCAGTGCTCCGCGGCCGCTGACGACGAGGTCGAGTCGAACATCGGCTCGATCGTTCTCGCCATGATCGTGTTCATCATCGTGCTGGTGCTCGCGGTCAAGGGCGCAGTTGAGTGCACGAGAGGGGCGGTGCAGCTCTTCTCATCTAGGGCGGCGAGTGCTGCCCCACCAGCGGGAGCGGCGAGGGCTGCCCCGCAGGCCGACGGCACGGCGAAGCCCGAGGCGGCGTCGAAGGACGCGCCTGAGGGGCATGTCGTTTCTCGGGCAGCGGCGATAGCTGCGCCTGAGCGGGTCGCCGAAGGGCGAAACCTCGGTTCGGAGTACTTCGGGAAGATGCTGGCTGAGGCCACCGTGGCAGAGCTCAAGGAGGAGCTCAGGTGGCGGAAGCTGCCGGTGAGCGGCTTGAAGGCGGACCTCATCGTTCGTCTGACGAGGGACGGCGGCCAGCACATGGCCAGCAGTGAGGGGCTGGCTGCAGCGGCGTGGGCCGCGCGGCTGGTTCCAGGCAGGGTGCCTATCCGAGCGTTTCGCTCGGATGCGAGTCTAGGCTCGCACCTAGGCGCGCTTCTCAGCAGCACGGGGTAGGTTCGAGCCGGGATGCAAGACCCTTTGAGGGCCACCCAAGATGGGTGAGGGCGCGGCACGTAGGCCGCTCCTTTGAGCCAAGGGCGCGCGTCGGGCGCGGGCGCGCGGGAGCCTCGGCGGGGACGCCCGCTTCGGCTTGAGCTTGAGCCTTCAGAGGGAGGCTCGAGCCGCAGTACAGGTGAGAAGATGCGAGGCGATGCGCTCGCCTGCATCTTGGAGGCGTGTTGACTGTACATGCTAATCTGTAGCCCCTTGGTCCAAGTAAAAACCATCAACAAAAACACAGCGTTTTTATTCATTTTTCATTAAAAATAATTGGAAAACGCAGCGTTTTTATTGATCTTCCATTAAAAAGATTGGAAAACACAGCGTTTTTATTGATTATATATATATATATAGATATATTTTTTTATAAAAAAAACATTATTATTGATTTTCCATAAAAATAATCGGAAAACGCAGCGTTTTTTTTTTGTTTTTTTTTTTTTTTATATATATATATATATATATATATATATATATATAATATATATATATATGATTTTTGTTGAAAAAGATTGGAAAACACAGCGTTTTTATTGATTTGTCATTAAAGTAATTGGAAACACAGCGTTTTTATTCAGTTTGTAATACAAAGATTGGGAAACGCAGCGTTTTTTTTTTTTTTTTTTTAAAAAAAAAAAATAAAAAAAAAAAAAAAAAAAAAAAAAAAATCCAATAAAAAAGATTGGAAAACACAGCGTTATTATTGATTTTTCATTGAAATAATTGGAAAACGCAGCGTTTTTATTGATTTTTAAATAAAAAACTGGAAAACACAGCGTTGCCGTACCCGAAACCTTGAAAAACATTGGAAAATTGGAAAGCACAGCGTTTTTATGGGAAAATATGGGAAATAATTGGAATTATTGGAAAACACAGCGTTTTTATCGATTTCCATAAAACCTTCTGGATGCGGAATCCATCCCATTTCTATTGAATTCCAATTGGAATCTAATTAGAATCCAAATAGAAATCCTCTGGACCTGGGACCCGTTCTCTTTCGATTGAAATCCTATTGAAATCTCATTGGATTTCAATAGAATCTTCTGGATGCGGAATCCATTCCATTTCTATTGAAATCCAATTGGAATCTAATTAGAATCCAAATAGAAATCTTCTGGATCTGGGCTCCGCTCGCCTTTCATTGAAATCCAATCAAAAGCAAACGAAACACTAATACAGACAGAAAGAACGAGAGGGAGAGAGAGAGAGAGAGAGAGAGAGAGGGAGACAGCAGAGGGAAATGAGAAACCAGGAAACACACACAAGCCACCTACACAAAGATACCACCCTTACGGGGGGGGGGGGGATCCCAGACCCCCTCCTCCTCCTCCTCCTCCTCCTCCTCCTCTTCCTCCTCCTCCTCCTCCTCCTCCTCCTCCTCCTCCTCGCCGCTGGAGTCCCGCCAGCGTGTTGCTCCCCTGTCTTCTCCGAGGGCGTCGTGGCGCGCCGTCGGCCGCGCCTCGCCGACGGGCTCCCCACGGCGGTGTGCCACTATTGTGGGCGCCTCGGCTCTCCCCACCGACCGGGCGCGTCTGCTTCCTGGGCGTCCCCCGCCCTCCTCGGCGGGGGAGGGCGGCGCGCGCAGACCCCTCCATGGCAGAGAGCGGCCGACGCGCACGCCAGTGGGCACGCACAAATACCGACGCCAGCGACGACACATCAGCAGACTATTGGATCTCCAACTGGAGCGAGAGCACCGTGACACGAGTCCACGCGCTGCTACACGCATCCTTTTTTTTACGCAGGCCCACGCCCGGGCCTCCGGGGCAGAGGGCACATAGCACGGAGGCACCCCCTTCGGGGACCTCGGCTCTCCCCACCGACCAGGGCGCGCTTGCTTCCTGGGTGTCCCCCGCCCTCCTCGGCGGGGGAGGGCGGCGCGCGCAGACCCCTCCATGGCAGAGAGCGGCCGGGCCTGCGGGGCAGAGGGCACATAGCACGGAGGCACCCCCTTCGGGGACCGGGCGCCCGGGCAGACGCCGCGGCGCGGGCGCGAGGCGCAGGCGGCTGCGCACCAGGCACGGGCGCCTGCCGGAGGCCCGCCCGGCCTTGTCTTGGCTCGGCGGTGGGCCCCGGTGGCTCATCCCCGGGATGGGGTCCACTGCGAGCCCAAGACACTGCGCGGGCCTTCGAACCTCGTCGTCGTCGTCGTCGTCGTCGTCCTCGTCCTCGTCCTCGGCATCGTCATCGTCATCGTCATCGTCATCGTCCTCGCCGTCAACGGTCGAGGGAGTTGACATCTCTCCCTCGTCGGCAGGCCTGCGGACGCCGACGGACGCCGGCGGCAGGCTGGCGGACGTAGACGTCGGCCTTCTGAGGGATGCGCAGTTGTTTTGCTCAAGGGGCTTCCGTATCGAGCCCATGCAGTCCTCTATCTCTCCCCCCTCCCTCCCCCCCGCCCTCCATCCCTCCCCCCTCCCCCTCTCTCCTCCCTGCCTCCTTCTCCTTCTTCCTGTGCCTGTGTGCTGGTACATTCCGTTGAGTCTTGCTTCGCCTACTTTTCCCGCGCGTCCGCCAGGGATGCACAGCTTCAGTCAGTCAGTCAGTCAGTCAGTCAGTCAGTCAGTCAGTCAGTCAGTGACGAGCCATAGCGTCCTCATGTTCAAATATAGACCATGTTGGGTTCGGAAGGGGTTCGCGGTGGCTCCCTGCGTTCTTCCACACGGCTGTTTCTCTCAAGGCGAAGCGGCTGCCGGACCGGGCAGTCTATGGGGCTCCCCGCCCTCCCCTGTTGGACTCTTCCGTTGTCTGTTCGTACAGAGTCGAACCCTCTAGCGGCACGCAGGGAGGAAATTGACGAACGAACAGCACACACCCATACCCATAGGGAGGTCGTTGGGAGGAGGACTGGCTGTGGGTCTGGGTGCGGGTTGTCGGACCCTGGGCTGGGAAATGCTCCCGTTCGAGCGGGAACCCCCATCCGACACCACGCACCCATAGCCCTTTCAGATGCCCCCGAAGGTTCGTCAGAAATCATCTCGCAGGAGGTCTGGGACGGAGCTGGGTGCGCTGCACGCACTGCATCGTCCAGTGCTGCTCCAGAGGACGCCGTGGCTCCACTTTTGCCTCGGTGTCGACGGACCCCGGCCCACGCCAGCGAAGCGAGAGGGCCGTCTCCTCGTTTCTCTCCTCCTCCTATAGGCCTCCGTGGGTCGAGGAGAGCGCTCGTCACCAGCCTCGAACGTATCCCTATCCCTAAGATTGACACGCCAAGAGGCGATGACAATCTTACGGATGCGCCCCCACAAAACCTGAGGGAGTCCCTGAGATTGGCCTCGTGAGGAGGCGATGCCCAGCGTAGGGACAGGGGTATGTTCCAGGCTGGTAAGCTCGCTGGGAGGAGGAGGAGGAGGAGGAGGAGGAGGAGGAGGAGGAGGAGCAGGAGCAGGAGGGAGGAGGAGGAGGGAGCAGGAGGAGGAGGAGAGGAGCAGGAGGAGGAGGAGGAGGAGGAGGAGGAGAGGAGGAGGAGGAGGAGGGAGGAGGGAGGAGGAGGAGGAGGGTAGGGGTAGGTTCCAGGCTGGCAGGTCTCGTCGGAGCCCCGGGGGAGGAGCTCGCCGCGCTGCACGCGCAGGCGTGCTCCCTGTGCCCCACAGCCCGGACCTGGCTGGCGCGCTGCGCGCTGCACCGGCAGCGCGCGGGCGCCCCGCCGGAGGCGGCGCGCGCCGTGTACGAGGAGGCGCTGGGCGTGCTGGGCCTCCACCCGGCGGAGGGCGCCGAGGTCTGGGCGGAGTTCCGGGACTTCGAGGACATCGGGGGAGAACACCTTGACCTTCCAGGAGGGGGCGGAAAAGAGGGGGTGACGACCAGGGGGGGGTGGATATAGCATGGCGGGGGGCATGCTATTTCCTCAGATTTCAGGGCGCCTCTTCTGATTTCATTACGTCCCTGGCCCCCCCGCTGGGCCGCGCACATGCCGCCGGTCATGATTTGCACCCCCCCCTCTTGGACACCCCCCTCTTGGCCGCTCCCGATTCCAGGAGGGCTAGAAAATAGCACGAGGAGCTCGAGATCTTAATTCCTGCCGAGGTTTTGGGCAGCCCAGATCGGTCTATAGGTCTGGAGGGCTATTTTTCAGCACTCTCCATGGAAGGTCAGGGCAGTCGCCGCCTCGGGGCCGGGAGCGTGTCCGCTGCATGTTTTTGTGTCAACGCCCCTCGCCCAGGGAGAGTCGGCCGGAGATTTGTACACTATATGCGTTGATCTTTCTGGCGTCTCTGCGGAGCCCCATGGGACAGGGCTCGGATACCTTGACGTATAGGAGCACGGCTCCCAAAACGTTTCGGAGCTCCGTTCTGCGATCGCGAACCCTATCCCTGCGGGTCCAACCGCCGCTGGGGTCTGGGACACCCCCGCTGGATTCATTGGGCTGTCCGGATTCTGACACCAAGGCGATCTTTCAGAAGTCTGACCTGCAGATGCCGGATTCACGTGTGGTTTCCTGTCCGCGCGGATCTCGCGGGTCGGCCGCTGGGTTCTTCCCTGGCACGCTCCACGCGCCAGGGGAGCTGGGGTCCAGCGTCGATCCAAAAAGCTCGTTCGCAGCTCCGAAGGTTTACGGTCGGGAGCCTTTCTCGCTCCGGTGGCTCTGGCCTATGCGACACGCTGACCACCTCCCTGCCCCCACGCGTCAACGCCTTCGAGCTTTTTCCAGCCCCACGCCCCGCGAAGCGGAGCGGCACGCCATCCGCTCGCAGGGCATGGCGTGTCGCCGAGGCTGCCGTCGCGACGCGCAGATCACGAGGTTCCGCCCGTATCCATTGCGTGGCATCCGACCCCAAACCGAACCTCCGGATAAGTCTTGGAGGTCGTCGTGACGATCGTGGCGACAGCAAATGGGGTAAAGGTTTTTGTCAAGGAGTGGCATGCCTGCTTCCCAGTCCCCCCCCCGGCTCTGCGATGCAGACGTGGGCCCAAAGCAGCCACCTTGACGGAGGCTCGTCTATTTATGTCCAACATGGGCAGTCCAGTTTGTTGGGTCAGGGGCCAGTGATCGATGATCCTCAGGACGTGCGTTATCCCAAAGTGCGTGCTTGCCTTATGTCGGACGTGTCCCCCTACAGGGGGATTTTCGACGAAAAAATACAAGTAACCCAAACATGCTCCAAAGAGGTAACAAAAATAATCAAAAAATAGTCCCCGTATTATGTTTGGCGTATTGTTTATTATCTTGGGGGTATTTTTTAATTTTTCGACGAAAAAAGACAAGTACCTCAAAAATGCTCCAAAAAGGTCACACACTGCTCAAAAGGTAGTCCCCAGACTATTTTTGGAGTACGTTTCGATGATTTCGGGGGTATGTTTTATTTGTCGTCGAAGATCCCCCTGTAGGGGGACAGGCCCGACTCAATCCAGAGTGTGTGCTTGCCCCGCTCAGCCTGTGTGGGCCTGCGTTGCGCTGCCTGCGTCGTGCGGCAGGGCCTCGGCAGGCAGAGCACACGCTGGCGCCGGCACGCGCTCTGAGGACCGTCGGGGTTCTCGTGCAGCCACGCGTGTGCATGCGCGGGCCAGCTTGGAGTCGGGCATGTCCGTCTACGGGAGGAACATGCACACACAGCCTGGGGACGAGTGTTCGAACATGCCTAGCTCTTGTTGAGCCTTTTTTGCCTGTGGTTTAGTTTTCGCCCAGAATCTCACCACCCACCAAACCACCCCAACCCAACCCGAAGGCCCAAATTTGCCCTCCATTTCCAGTGGGGTCGGGGAACATCGAAAAACACACATGGAACCCGTACCCCCCTCAACCCGAAATTCGGTTCAAACTCGGGTCTTCGGGTTGGGTTGGGGTTGTCTGGCAGGTAGTCAGAATCCCCTTGTAGGAGGACGCGCCCGACCGAAGGCTAACTCTTCCTCCAGAGGAGGGCCTCATGGCCTCGGCGGCCACGCCCGCGGAGCGCGCCCAGCAGGCGCAGCGCGTCCGCGCCCTCTTCATGCGCCAGCTGGCGCTGCCGCTGCCCGGGGCTCCGCGCCTGCGGGACGCGCACGCCGCCTTCGAGGGCGGCCTGGAGGCCTCCTGCTCCTGCTCCTCCTCCTCTCCTCTCCTCCTCCTCCTCCCTCCTCCTCCTCCTCCTCCCCCCTCCTCCCCTCCTCCCCTCCTCCTCCTCCCCTCCCCCCTCCTCCTCCCTCCACCTCCTCCTCCCTCCTCCTCCTCCCCCCTCCTCCCCCTCCTCCCCCCTCTCCTCCCCCTCCTCCCCCCTCCTCCTCCGCCTCCTCCTCCTCCTCCTCCTCTTCCTTCTGGTTCTCCTCCACCTCCTTCTCCACCTCCTTCTCCTCCTCCTCCTTCCCCTCCTCCTCCTCCTGCTCCTCCTCCTCCTGGGCACCGCCTGGCGCAAACATAAGTCGGCCTGCCACCTTTGTGCGGGTGGGTGGCGCATCCCTTTGACAGGGCGAGTGCAAGAGCAAGATGGCGCTGGCCAAGGCGGAGGCCGTTGCGTCGTCCGCGGCGAAGGAGTACAGAGGAGGAGGGAAAGCCGACGCCGCTGCTCGTCGTGGTGGTGCCTCGTCACCACGGCTGGACTTTTTGTTCGAGATGCTGGTCAGGAAGCGCCCCTGGAGAGCTCCGTTGAGTAGTGGCATCAGTCCTCTGGGTCACCAGCGGGGGCGTGAAGCTGATCGCGCCTCGCGAGGTCTGCCAGAGCGGCTGTCCCTCTCCATGGGGTCGCCGTGAGGGCTTGAAGGCAATCGCGCGTCGCGCATCGCGGCGCGCGACGCGCGAAGTTAGGTGAACTGGGTGCCCTCTTGATTCGCCAGGAGTGGGAGCGGCGCGCAGCGCTCGAGCAGCGGTTCGCGGAGGCGTCGCGGCCGGCGATGATGGTGGGGCCCGCGGAGAGCACGCCGGCCTCCCCCGCGGAGGTGTCCGCCGAGCTGCTCGCGCTGGAGGAGGGCCTGGGCGACGCCGCGCGCGTGGCGCTAGCGCACCTGCGTGCCACGCAGTGCTCGCCACGCGACCCGGAGCGCTGGCAGCGCTTCGTGGACTTCACCGTCGGCACCCAGAGGGACCACCGCAGGGCCGCGGAGGTTCTGGAGCGCGCCGTGCGTCACTGCAGCGGCCACTCGGCCTTCTGGCCGCAGCTGCACCGCGAGCGGGAGGCTGCCGCCGGGTCCCTCGCGCAGCTGAAGGACGTGGTGCAGCGCGCCACGGCCGCGATGCAGCACGCGCCCCCCCAGGACACGGCGGGCGAGGAGGGCGCCGAGGGCCCGGAGCACGCGCTGCTCTGCCAACACGCGGACGCGTGCCGGCGGGCGGCCGCGGCATTGCCCAGGGGCGCCGACGCGGACGCGGCCTGTGCCGAGATGCGTGCCGCCCTCGAGCGCGCGCTCGGCGTGGCGCACGTTCCAGGCTCACGAGAGGCGAACACGTGGTATCCGCGCCCTCGCGGTCTGGGCTCCCAGGCGCAGGTCCCGCGGATGCGCGGCCGCACGGAGAGTTGCGTTCTGCGCGGGGCACCCGCGCAGGAGCGCCCCGTCTCCGCGGAGCCGCGGCCCAGGGGCCCCGCCCGCGAGGCCGCGGATGTAGATCTGTTTTTCGCCCACGACAGGCCCCACGCTGCTTCGGTGGATGCGCCTGGAGGCGTACGGCGCTGGCAGCCCTTTGGGGGATACCAGCTGCACCCGTGGCGCCGAACCTGGCCAGGCCCATCTCGAGCTCAGAATGGACGGGCCTGGCCAGATTTGGGGCCAGAATGCGGCAGGCGTTCTCCTAGGCAGTGCGCAACACGCCCTCGAGGTGGGCAAGAGGCTCGCCAAGTGCTGGGGCGCGTACTACAACGTGTGGAGCTCCATGATTGCTGCCGTGCAATACTGCGCGCGGGACGGCGCGTACGAAACCGTTCGCAGCCTGTACATGGATGCCCTGGCCCAAGTCGCCGACTATCCCGACCAGGTGTCTGTCGAGTAGGGGATCGACTGCAGAATTCGTTTACCCCGAAATTTGTTTTTTTTTTCCGCCGAATCTATGTACGTCGGATGTTCCGTGGATCTATTGAGCATTATGTTAACTTTACGTGGGCCCGACGGAACAATTAATATTGGGGTACATCAGCTCTCGAGTCTGGGGACTTGGGGCGCACACCAAGCGATGGCCAGGCTCCTCCTCTGCCCAACGCGGCGCCCTCCCATGGGGTGATTGGGGGAGGGCTCGTGCGCCGAGAGCTTTGACCGAGGAGGGGCGTGGTCGGGTACGTATGGAATCTTAGGGTGCAACTCCGGGAGCCTTGAGACGGGGGTTAATGCAAACGGGGGTCAGGCAGAGCGCCAGATCTCGCAGGATCCTGCAAATCCAGGGCTGCATTGACCCAGGCTAGAGCGTGCCATTGCTTTATCGATCCGATCGATCCGATTCGATGTCGCATTTGCCCAGCTCTATCCGATTCGATTCCGATATTCCGACGATCCGATGCGGCCCGGTACTTCCATGGCGCTGTGGTGCATTCCGTCGCGGCCGATCCGATTCGACTCCGACTCAGTGCCGATGCGGTCAGATCTGACGCACCTTCCGACTCGATGCGATTTCCCGATTCGATGCTATCTGATCTAGCCCCAGGTGCAGTCAGACTATGTGCAGTTCGAGCGCGAGTGCGGCACCCTGCAGTCCTGGCTCGAGGCCTGCGATGCGCTCGAGCAGCGGCAGAGGTCGGCAGCGGCTGCGGCGGGCGGCGCGGTTCAGGCGGAGGCGTCTGGTGGGGCTGGCGCCGAGGCGCAGCCAGAGGCTTGGGCGGCTAAAGTCGGTACGATCGAAATGGGTACGGAAAGAGTGGAGACGAAGATCAGGAGGAACAGAAACACACAGACACAATTAATCTTCGATTCCCCAGAAAATATGGGAAAATATGGGAAGTGGGGGGGAAGACAGAAACCAGAAAATATGGGGAATCTGTCTATTTGTGTGTATTTATTTGTGTGTCCTGGGGCCCCTTCAGAAGATTGGCAACAGTTCTTGTTCATCTTGGGCAGGGCTCGTTGACGGTGCCGCCGCGGGCGTTGTCCATGTGAGACGGCAGGCGGACTGCCCAACAGCCGCCGCTGTTGATCTTGGGCAGCATTTGAAGCTGGGCATTTCATACATTTGTCCTACCCATTTCGGGCGTCCAGTTAAACGTGTGTGGATGAGAATGCTGAGGGCATCGGGGTCCAGCAAAGGGGCAAGCTCTGCAGGTAGCCAGTTCCCCTCCCTTGCCCCGATGGCAAGCGCGTGCATTCCGGATTTCGCGCTTCGGGAGAGATTCAGGGAGGCCTCCACGGTGTCTGGAGGCAATCGACACCTGAGCGACGCAGAAAAAGCGGGTGCGTCGTCACTGACATTGGCGCGTAAGCTTTCCGCGCCAGGTCGCGCGTGAGCTCCCTGGTTTGCAACATGGCGTGCCGTGCTGGCGACCCGTGTAAGCCACCGCGTGTAAGGTCGCTATGGGCTATGGCATCTCGCGCATGGCCAGTTTATTTTCGGCGCTCGCCTGGCCCAGCCCCACCCCTTGGGCCACCCGGCACGTCTGAACGTTCCAGCCAGCCAGCAGGCGCAGCCCCCGACGCGGCCCGCCGGGCAGAAGCGCGGCGCCGCCAAGGCGAAGGCGGCCCAGGCGAAGAAGAAGCAGCGCGGAGCGGCTGCCACAGAGGCGGCCGCAGCTGCCACGCTGGCCGGTGCCACGACAGCGTCGGCCGCGGCGGCGCCGGCCGTGGCTGCCCAGGCCCACGAGGCGCCAGCCAGCCCAGACCCCCTCGCGCTGTAAAAAAACACGACGGAAGGCTTTTCGCTATTTTCGGCGGGACCTTACCGGGCCTCGGGACCGTCAAAGATAACGACGGATGATGAAAAGCCGGGTCTGGTGAATGGGTCCAGACCTCGAGGTCTGGACCCATTCCCCGGATCTGGGGGTCGCGTCATGAAAAAATCACGACGTCGGGGGTCTGGGAGGACAGAACCCAAGGCACCGCCGAAGGTCGGCGTGGCTCCCCCCGCAGCCTCCGGCTCGCCCCCGGCGCCGGGGAAGCTGCAGGCCGCCGTGCAGGCCGCCCAGGCCGCCGTGCTGGCCGCCAAGCAACAGAAGGCCGCCGCGCAGGCGGCCAAGGCGGCTGCTGCGGCTGCTCCGGCGGCCGCGCCCGCGGCGGCCGCAGCCGCGGCTGCCCCAGCGGGCGCCGGGCCCCCAGCGGCCACGGCCGAGGCCGAGGCCGCTCCGGCGGCCGGCACGGCGGCTGCGGCGGCCGCGCCCGCCGAGGCCGCCGCGGAGGAGGCGGCGCGCCCGGCCCCGGCGGCGGCCGGGGCCTCCGGGGAGGCGCCTGCCGCGGGGGCCTCGGCGGCCGCGGGAAGGGCGGCGGCAGCCGCGGCTGCCCCAGCGGGCGCGGGGGCCTCGGCTGCCAAGGCCGAGGCCGATGGGCTCGCGGCCGGCGCCGGCGGGACCAGCGCGCCGGCCGCGGCTCCTGCGGCTGCTCCAGCGGCCGCGCCCTCAGCGGCGGCAGCCGTGGCTGCCCCAGCGGGCGCGGGGGCCTCGGCGGCCAAGGCCGAGGCCGAGGCCGCTCCTGCGACAGACGCCGCCCCGCACCAGGGGTCGCACTACCACCAGAGGCGCCTGGCGCAGGGCGCGGAGGCCCCCACGAAGCCGGAGGCGCCGGGCTCACGGCTGCACCGATCCCATCTCTGCCTGGGTCCAGTACTGGTTCCCAGATCTCTGACCCTCTCAAGATCCGGGCGTTGCAATTTTGTGACACCGGGCGCTTTCGTCCGGTTTCGGCCCTAGGACCATCTCAGATCGAGCGGGCCCGAAAGATGCAGCAGAACGTTGGGGTCTCGGGCTCTGGCCATGATTGTTCAATCTGCTTGCGGATCTCCGACGATGTAATTGATTGAATTCTGTCAGTTTTCATCGATTTCGGCTTAGGGGCCCGATGCCAGGCCCCTGGACCATCCAAAACGGATCTTGGCCGAAAGCTACCCATGGCCCAGGTCGGGCCTGGCCAGGGCTGAGGTCGGTGTGTGTGTGTCGTTTGTAGGTCTGTCGGCAGTCCCCCGGAGGCAGCAGAAGGCCGCTCTCGCTGGGGGCGCTGGGGGGCCTGGGGGCTGTCAGGGAAGATCCGAACCGCGCGGGAAGTAGCCAAGGTTCAACCTCGCTCTGACTTTTCATCTCTGTTCTGTCTGACCGCCCCTGGCTCCCAGGGACCCTGACAGGGGGTTTCGGTGATAGCCACCCGAGGAGGAGGGCAAGCAGACGGTGTACGTGTCCAACCTGGATTCGGGGTGGGGGCCGAGGCGCCCAATGAAAGCCCTCGATATCCATCTCGTCCACAGAGGCCTCCCTGGCATGCCAAGCCACCCTCTGCTCGGGGGGGGGGCAGGTCAAGGGGGGGCTCGGGACCAGCGGAGCCAGAGGGCAACCTGTCGGGCTGGCTCGCCCAAGGATTGGTCCGTCGACGAGGCCCATCTGTACAGGATCTTCGGCGACATTGAGGGCCTGAAGGAAGTAAGGCTGGTGCGAGACTTCCTGAAGAGGTCCAAGGGCTATGCGTACATCGACTTCGAGCAGTCCAGAAATGTCGACGATGCCGTCAAGAAACTGGACGGGCACATGGTTAACAAGCGGTTGATGCGAGTGGCGCGCTCGTTGCCCACGAAGCCGTTGTTCGAGGAGCGCACTCTGTTTGTGAAGGGCATCGGCACGGGGGCCACGGAGGCCGAGGTCAAGGACGCGTTTGCACGGCAGGGCGAGGTCATCGGCATACGGATGCCCACAGACCCGGCCACCAAGGCGCACAAGGGCTACGCGTACGTCGAGTTCGCGACCGCCGAGAGCCTCGAGGCCGCGCTGAAGGCAGAAGCCCCAAAGATCGGCGACCAGGCGGTGCTGGTGAGCCGCTCCATCCCGATGAAGGACCACCGCCACCAGACGGCAGGGAGCCGCAAAGACCTGCCGCAGCGCAGCAACCAGCGGCTGATGCTGGAGCAGAAGCTGCAGCGCGAGGACCCCGCCAGGCAGTCTGCCAGGTGCCCCACGACCGTGTACGTCAAGGACCTCGCCTTCAAGACCGACGAGGCCGCGCTGCGCAGCCACTTCGCGCAGTGCGGGGAGGTGGTGCAGACGCTGGTGGTGCGCAACGCGCAGGGGCGCTCCCGCGGGTTCGGCTTCGTGGAGTTCCAGGACCCCGGCGGCGCACAGGGCGCGCTGATGCTCTCGGACAGCGAGCTCCACGGGCGGAAGATCGTGGTCAGTAGGAGTTGAAGTGCTGATGCTGCTGCTGCTGCTGCTGCTGATGATGATGATGATGATGATGATGATGATGAAGCTGAAGAAGCTGATGATGATGAATATGCTGATGATGATGATGCTGGTGGTGGTGATGATGATGAGGATGCTGCTGCTGCTGCTGCTGCGGCTTATGATGATGCTGATGATACTGATGATGCTGATGATGCTGATGATGATGATGATGCTGATGCTGCTGATGATGATGATGATGCTGCTGCTGCTGATGATGATGATGATGATGATGGTGGTGATGATGATGATGATGGTGGTGGTGGTGATGATGATGGTGGTGGTGGTGTAGTGGTGGTGGTGGTGGTGATGATGATGATGATGACGATGATGATGACGATGATGATGATGATGATGATGATGCTGATGATGATGATGATGATGATGATGATGATGATGATGATGATGATGATCGTGGTCAGCAGGAGCCAGAGAGAGATCACGCAGAAGAAGGCCGCGCCGGCTGCCGAGGCGGCCACGCAGGCTCGAAGAGGGCGCCCGCCGGTGCTCCAAAAGACCGATCTTGGCCGGGCCCAGCCCGGTGCCCAGGCTCGGCCAGGTGCTCGCCTCCCGGGCCAGGCCAGCAGGGCGTCTGCGCCGAGGAGGAGGAGGACGAGGAGGAGGAGGAGGAGGAGGAGGACGACGAGGAGGAGGAGGAGGAGGAGGAGGAGGAGGAGGAGGAGCAGGAGGGGCCCTCAGGGCGTCTGCGCCCATCCTGGGCCCAGGTCGGGCGTGGCCCGGATCGGTGTTGGCGCACACGCAGCAGTCGGCGTCCTCCCGCAGGAGGAGGTCAAGAAGGAGGCGCACCCCACGAGGGTGCCGCAGCCGAAGGCGGGCGCCAAGCGGAGGCTGGTGCTCGAAGAGGCAAAGGCCGCCGCGCCCGCCGCGGCCGAGCCCGCCGAGAAGAGGTCCAAGGTTGCTTTCCGAACGGTGCGGTCCGCCGCGGACGAGAAGGACGGCATGCTTCCACTCGGGGGGACATAGCGCAGCATACCGCCACTACGGCTGAATTCTCCTCAAAATGTTGATCAGAATGCACCCCAGGAAAGGTCCGGAGAGTGGCGGCAACGGTATCTCATTGGCGACTACACTCAAGAGTGACCTTTCGTTGGAATGACTTGTGGTGCTGGCAGGGCACACTGGGACTCCCAGATGACTGAACGCGATGCGATAGCAGCGTCTTGCGCGCTCGGGTTCGGCCTTTCCGCGGCCCCCGAAAGTTGTCCTCTGAAGGTCACTCTTGTCCAGGGCCGCTCTTGCGTGTAGCCGATGTTGCTCCCACGCCCACTGCTCTCTGTTGGATGATCGTGTGTCGACGCCTCTCCAGGTCCTCTGGAGGGCTCTGCAGAGCCCCTGGTACGCACACGCCGTTCGTTGGAAGGAGGTATGGTTTGATTCCCAGGCCCCAATCTACTTCAAGCGCCTTACTACTCCAAGAATCGACATGTTGATGTTGCTGCGTTGTGCTATGTTCTGGAAGGGCTTGAGCCCAATGTACTTGATCCACCTTCCTGCTTCCTGCTTTTACCCACTTCTTCCGACCAGCGTCTGCTTTTCCTGTGGGGTCCTCTCTGGGGTCCTTAGGAGACCGCCACCGCGGGCTCCGGAGGTCATCGTTGTGCCCCTTCTGCCGACTGTCAGCAGGCTCGGTCTTCACGATTGGGGCGATCTCGTGGACCATTTCCGTTTCGATTCCATTTTGCAGCAGAGGCGGAACGGGGGAACACGAAAACAAAGCGACACCGCAACACATTGTTTAGGTCAAGCCTTGGTGCAGCCGAGACGCTGAAGTAAGGACGCCGATGCATTGGCGATGCGGCGCGATCCTCCGACCCCATCAACTCCGACGCCATCTAGGAGGCCTCTACTCATAGTATTGGAGCCCTGGGCCCTCGGCTGCCCTCAGTCCACCGCGCTCCACACGCCGACGGGACGGGCTGCAGGGCAAAGCTTTTTCTCACGTGTCACCCCTCTCGGGGATGAGGAGGAGACGACTGTGAAGGAGCGAGAGCGAGGGATGGATAACTACGATGAGGATGGAGTAGGGGGTAGAAAGATGAATAGGTTGGAGCTCGAGCAGCAGGGGAGACGGAGAAGGCAATGGGGAGGATGAGCAGGAACTATCGTCGGTGCAAGCGTCAGGACTGGAGCAGCCAGAGGCGTCGCTGTCTGGGCCCCCTGCTCAGGACTGAGGCCTTGGGCCACCTCTTCTCTCACCGCGCCCTGCGCGAAGCGGTCCATCCAGCGAAAGGGACGCAACTGCCCCTGTCCTCGTGCGAAGTGTCTCCGTGGGGCGCCTTGGGCCCCGCACGTGCCTAAACATTATGCTCGCGATGCAGACGATCACCTCAGTAGCGAGCACCTCGAGGCACAGCATCATGAAGCCAGGATCTGCCTCCACCTCCGCCTCCGCCGTCTCCTCTCGTGGCCTCCTCCTTCTCCTTCTTCTCCTCGTGCCGTGCGTCTCCGTGAGGCTCCTCGGGTCCACTTTCGTGAGGCGTTTGCACGAACAGCCCGGCTCGCAACATGGACGATCCAATTTGTGATGACCACGAGGCGCAACAACCGCAGTAGCGGGTCCAGCTCTTCCCTCTCTGGCGGTCTTCGTAGGCTCTTCATCCTCGGCCTCGTTCGAGAAGTTGTCGTGAGGCTCACATCTCGGGGGAGAAAAAGATATGGATACGTGTTGTCCCCCTTCGTTCTCGGCCTTTCCTGGTCCTCCTGGGGAATCCTCGTTGTCACCGCTGGATTCGCCTCGAAATTCTGGTCAGAACGCACCCCAAGAGAGGTCCGGGGACAACACGTATCCGTATCTTTCCGCCCCCCAACACATCATGATCTTCGCGCTCTGGATTCACGACTGGTTCATCATAGTGAGTGCCAAGTGCGGCGGCAGGCTCGTCCAAGATTTCAAGCTGTGTGCACTGTCGGCCGCCTCAGCGGCCTTGGGCACCTCCTCCACGGGGTGCACGAAAGGCGCCACTGCGCCCAGCAACTCGTCCACGACCACACTCTCGGAGACGCACTTGCTGTTCACGTGCAACTCGGCACGGAGTTGTTCCAGGATCTGGATCTGGAGCCGCGCGGCAACATGAGCACAGCCTCTGTGTCCGACTATGGCGCATGCGGGGCCCAAGTACATGTGGCTCTCGCTTTTCTGTGTGTCGCGTCGGGGGGCTGTCGTCATCATCATCCCGCGCGGTCCGCCTGCCCTCCAATCCCTACGCTGTGAAACTACAGCCCCACACCCGTTCTATTATGCAGGAAGGGGGGCGACGATGCCGACGACGATCTCCCCGACAAGAAGCGAGGACGAGGAGGGATAGGACAGTCAGCGCAATCCGCGGCTGCAGACACCCTGAGCTCGGGCGTGCTTGCCCCCACGAGCTCCGCGGCTGCGAGGGCGGCCCTCCATCGGTAGGGTGGCGGGCCCCGATGGTGTCCCCCGGGCCCCGGTGCGCTGCCGATCCCCCACCCAGAAGAAGCGTGCGGCACTGCCGCGCCGGCTCCCCTGCAGTCGGGGTGCTGAGGAAGGAACCCTTTTCCTTGGGAAGGGGCTCGGTGTTCCTTAGTTGTGTTGCAGTTCGCCTCTGGTTTTGCTTAGGGCTTCGATGGGAAATCGAGGTTTAGCTTATGGGAAAAAGGGGGCCTCGTTCCTTATTTAGGGTTCCTTAGGTCAACGCCCCGACTGTAATGTAAGTGCTCTCAGTCCATGTCGAAGCTCACCCCGGCATCGACAAGCGAGCGGTCCTGCACGGCGGCGAAATCCGAATCCTGCCCGTTGTCAACCAACGATTCAGTCAACTCGATGGGCGGCGGGAATACGGTTCGGAATTCGCCGAACCCGTGGAGAAATCCGAACCCTACCCCCGCCTCCCAGCGACCCAGGAGAATCGACGCTCGGTGGGGGTAGGGCTCGGATGTCGCCACAAAACCCATGGCAAGGGAGCCGTATGTCAGCAAGGGCACCCTTACATCCCTGCCTCTTCAGCCAATCCTTTGCCACTTGCCACGTCCAGGGACGACCCATCTGGAAGGCCGAGGGGCCTCGCATCCCTGACCGTGCGTTCTTACAGTCGGGGTTGACGGCAGTGTCGAACCTCACCCCGGCGTGGGGGGAAGTCCGCGGGGGCAGGCCTCCTCGGCAGGCTCAGAAGGCCTCGGGCCCTCTGAGCAGTTCTCGGAGCCCTTCCCGAAGACGCAGAACATTTCAGAAGTCAGGAGGGGAAAAAACACGCAGACACAATTCATCGTCGATTCCCCAGAAAAGATGGGTCCACACAGAGTGCCCGGTCTCCGTATGCACTCACTCCGTCTGGACTTCGCCTCTCCTGGGAGGAGGCGGATTCCATACGGAGTGAGTGCAGACGGAGTTCTCAGTGCGGGCTAATTCCATACGGACTAATTCCATGCGGGTTAATTCCATACGGACTGAGTCCACACAGAGCGCTCGGTATCAGTATGGACCTACTCCGTCTGGCTCGCCGCAGCTGCCGCGCCGGCCGGCCCTCCGCCGCGGCAGCTGCGGCGAGCACTGAGCAGCAGGGGGAGGGGGAAGGGGAGGAGGAGGAGGAGGAGGAGGAGGAGGAGGAGGAGGAGGAGAGGAGGAGAGGAGGGAGGAGGAGGAGGAGGAGGAGGCGGGGGAGGAGGAGGAGGAGGAGGAGGAGGAGGAGGAGGAGGAGGAGGAGGAGGAGGAGGAGGAGAGAGGGAGGAGGAGGAGGAGGAGGAGGAGGAGGAGGAAGGAGGGGAAGGAGGTAGAACCAGGAGGAAGACGGAGGAGGAGGAGGTGGAGGAGGAGGAGGAGGAGGAGGAGGAGGAGGAGGAGGAGGAGTGGAGGAGGAGGAGAGGAAGGGAAGGGGGCGGAGGCGGGGGAGGAGGAAGGAGGATGATTAGGACGAGGACGAGAAATTGAAGGATGAGGATGATCATGAGAGAGGGGAGGAGGAGAGGAAGGAGAGAGGAGGAGGAGGAGGGGAGGGAGGAGGAGAAGGAGAAGGGGAGAGGGAGGAGGAGGAGGAGGCGGAGGAGGAGGAGGAGGCGGAGGCGGAGGCGGAGGCGGAGGAGGGGAGGGGAGGAGGAGGAGGATGAGGAGGAGGAGAGAGAAAGGGAGGAGGAGAAGAGGAGGAGAGAGGAGGAGGGAAGAGGAGGAGGAGTGGAGGGGAAGGAGGAGGAGGGAGAGGAGGAGGAGGAGGAGGAGAGGAGGAGAGGAGGAGGAGAGAGGAGGAGGAGGAGGAGGGAGGGGAATGGAAGGATGATGATGAGGAGGAGGAGGAGGAGGAGGCGGAAGAGGAGGATGAACGAGGCGGCGTAGGAGGAGGAAGGGGAGGAGGAGGAGGAGCAGCCGGAGGAGGAGGAGGAGGAGGAGGAGGAGGAGGAGGAGGAGAGGAGGATGACGAGGCGGCGTAGGAGGAGGAAGGGGAGGAGGAGGAGGAGGAGGAGGAGGAGGAGGAGGAGACGGAGGAGGAGGGACGAGGAGGAGGACGAGGAATGGAAGGATGAGCAGCAGGAGGAGGAGGAGGAGGAGGAGGAGGAGGAAGAGGAGGAGGTGCAGGGGAGGGGGCGGGCGGGCGGGGGCGACAGGAGGTGGCGAGAGCTCTGCCCACAGGAGGCCGGCGCCAGCGAGGACGGGCCCCGGGAGGAGAAGGCAGACCAGCAGGCGCCCTCCTCGCGCTCTTCGTCCCCCGCCCCCGCTCCGCTGCGCGTGACCTAGGCCTCCGGCGCACTGAACACTTCAAGACGGAGGTGGTTCATCTTTTTCGGCGTCTGGGGGCCCGCGCCAGGCTCGGGACCATCGAGAAACGACCCGGGGCGAAGAACTGGCCCCCTGGAAGTGTTCCAGCGATGCTGGGGTCTGCCTCCTCCCTCCTCCCTCCTCCCTCCTCCCTCCTCCCTCCTCCCTCCCGCTTCGAAAAAGACAAGACGTCGGAAGGTTGGGCGGAGCGACCCTTCGCCGGAGTGACCTTTGGTGCGGTTCCACAGGGGTTCCCCCCAGCTTCGGCTGGCTCGGTGCGCTAAAGGTCTCGCTTGCCTACAACTCTCCCGGAAAGAAGCATAGTCCTGCCCACTGGCCCCCAACCACAGTTGGATGGGGGAGGGCACGGACCACATGTGGCCTCAATGCGGCTTCGAAGCGATCCGAAGAAGACCACGTGACCCCATGCCATCTCCATAAGGTCGTCGACTCGCCCTCGCTCGCCCGAGATGAAGACCGCGCGGCGACACCGTCCAGGCCCTGTGGGCACCGAGGGCACGGTCGGAAGCTTTTTGATAGCGTGTCGCTGGTCCACGGCGCCTCGGTGCGACACGCTGTCCATTTCACGGTCCCGAGGCGTCAACGTGTCGAGCTTGCCCAAGACTCCTGACCCGTGGAGCGGAGCGACACACTTTATCCACTCGCGAGGTATAGCGTGTCGCCGGGGTCGCCACGGCGAGACGCTGTCCAACAGGTTTCGCCCGTAGCGGGCCCAGGAAGCGGCAGGTCCACCCTTTTTAAGAATAGTGTCTTGATCATGAAAGCTAAAAGTGACTGTTCACCAGGACAGCAAAGCAGTGGCGCCGGAATCGTCAAAAGCACGAGGCCAGAAGCGGTAAGACGCTTAACAGCGAAAACGCGAACACAAGTGGCCCTGTCCGTTCCCAGGGCCCACTAAGGTTCCCAGGACAGAGAAGAACAGAGTGTTCACGGGTGCGAGACCTTCCCACCCAGGGACAGATTGCCGACATTGCCCTTGCATCGCAGAGGCTGCTCTTGTAGTGCTTTGCCAGGGCCGCTCTTGCACCCCCTCTGCCTCCCCAGAGGTACGCTGAACAGCAACACTGACCTCCCAGCAGGTGCCCCCCACACAGATTGCTCCCCCCCCCCGGTGCCCCTGGGGACCCACTTGGCATCTCGGGCATCTTACAACTCTCAAGACCAACGAACTGGTCATCTCCAACCTTGCCGCACATGTCTAGCACGGGCCAGCTGCGCGTACATCCCGGACCTGCTGGCTCCGACGCGGGTGGCAGCTGCTCCCGATCGGACGATCAATGGTCTCGCACCCGTGCCTTGCTTCCTCGCTATCCCCAGCCACGTTGAATTGCCGGCGCCCCTCGGCGTTTCTTACCGGACAGGGCAACTTCGTTCGAGGTTGCTTGCGCGGTTCGGAAACGGACCTGGCTCTCTCACTGTGGATTCTGCCATACGAAGATCTTCTTCCTGGTGAGGGGACAGCTGCCAAGTTTGTCAAACATCTGGCTCCGCTTCTATAGGGTCGAGAGGGGGAAGGGAGGAGAGAGATGGAGGAGGAAGACGGGGGAGGAGGAGGAGGATGAGGAGGAGGAGGAGGAGGAGGAAAGGAATGGAAGGAGGAGGAGGAGGAGGAGGAGGAGGAGGAGGGAAGGAGGAGGTGTGTGGAGGTCTCCAGTAGCTTCTGAAGCCCAGACGTGGTGAGAACTCCCGAAAACCTCGACCCTAAAGACGAGGAGGAAGAGGGTGTGGTGGATGAGAAGGAGCATCGTTGTCGTCGTCGTCCTCCTCCTCCTCATCCCGCCCTTCAGGCGCCCGTGCCCATGTCGAACGCCGATTTCCGCAAGCTGCTGCTCGGGTGACGCTGAGCGAGCAGGGTCTCTTGGCACGGAGCGCGTTGTCATGGAGCGGCCACGACCACCCTCCGGCGCCTTGACTACCTCGGGGGAACCCTAAACGACATCATGACAAACCTTCGGAGGTCCTCGCGGATCTCTTGGGTCGGGGCCGGACCCCCTGACCTTCCAGAGTGCTAAAAAGTAGCCCTCCAGACCTATAGACCTATCTGGGCTGCCTAAAACCTCGACAGGAATTAAGATATCGAGGTCCTGGTGCTATTTTTTTTGCCCTCCTGGAAGGTCAGGACCACCCTCCCCGCACCTCCGTGCGGCTCCTCTGGCGGACGCCCCCGGCGGTCTCCAGTCTCCGCGCGCCGGGAGGCGTGGGAACGGCGGGCCCGGCGGCGCCGATCGAAGCCTGCACGGAGCTCCGAGAGCTCCTCTGCTGCGCAGTCCCGCGCGATCATGCTGCCCCTCCTCCTCCTCCACTCCCCTCCCCCTCCTCCCCCTCCTCCCCCTCCTCCTCCTCCTCCTCCTCCTCCTCCTCCTCCTCCTCCTACTCCTCCTCCTCCTTCTCCTCCTCCTCCTCCTCCTCCTCCTCCTCCTTCTCCTCCTCCTCCTCCTCCTCCTCCTCCTCTCGGGCCAAAGGGGGGGATTGGGAAAGGGGGGGTACGAAATTTGCTGCATGCAGCTGGTTTCGCCCCCACCGAGGGGCCCATTCCTCGATACATGGCTCCATCCGGCGCCGGGAGGCGCCGGGAAAATCAGCCACGTGAGCTGATTCTCAAACCCCCCCTTTGCTATCCCCCCCTTTCGCCCGACCCGATTCTGGTGCTCCTGTCGGAGCGGGGCTCTGGTGGCCACGGGTGGACGCCGCCCGCAGCTTCGGGCGTGCCGTGCCAGGGGAGGAGGGGCCCCCAGGCTCGTCTTAAGGCGGCCTCTTGGTGGGGCCTGCAGCGCGAGGGGGGTGGCCCTTGCGTGTGAGTAGCCCGGCGGCTCCTTTGACGCCCTCCCCTTCCCCCGCCTTGCAGGAGGCCTTGCCAAGAAGCCTCCGGCCCCAACCGCTGGAAGCCCACGCCCTCTCGGAAGGCAGTGCCCCCGCGCCCCAACCCCCTCCCGCCCAGGTGCTCGCGCCTGCCAGCCAGCGTCTCCCCTCTCCTGGCCGAGTCTGCAAGAGCTCTTGCCATGCCCCTCCAGTTTCGCCGAACGTGCCAGCGGCGGAGGGGCGTGAGCCCGCTAATCAGTCGGCTGAGGGATGACACCACGGTCCTTGAGGGCTCTCGAGGACGCCTTCTTCCCGCCCTGTGCGGGGATGGAGGCCTCACGAGGCCACGCTCGGAACGGTTCGGCCGTTCAGCGCCCATCTGCTCAAGATTCTGAAATCAGGAGGGGAAGGAAACACACAGACACAAGTAATCGTCGACTCCCAGGACACAAGGGGAAATATGGGCAGTGGGGGGGAAGACAAAGGCTCGGAACAGAAGGGAAAATGCAGCCAAGACGCTGAACTAAGGAACAATTAGGATTCAGAAGGGGCTCGATGTTCCTCACGTCCTTCCGCGGTTGTTCCTCTAGCCCTTCTCGTGCACCCAGGCTTCTTTGAAGCCACAGGGGGGCTCCGTTCCTTCTTTAGCGTCCCTTCTTGCAGCAGCCCGGCTGTATGGGCAACCCTGGGAGTTGTTTACCAGTTTGAAACATATCCATATCCCTATGTCTGACATCACCTCGCCTCGATGCCGATCTCAAGGATTCCCTCAGTTTCTGAGGGCCTATCCCTAAGATTGTCCTCGCTTTTTGCTCGCCCATCTTAGGGATAGGGATAAGTTCGAGGCTCGTTACTATTTGCGCGTCCCCGGGGCCCCTTTGGTCACGATGCTTGCTGCGTGCGGCCAGCCTCGGCCCACGCGCCAGGCGCTCTCCCGAGGACCCGCACGGCCGCGCCTGGCGCGGACGCCACCGCCTTGGGCACCCTCCTGGTTATGTTTCGGTCGGGCCTGCCCCCCCTACAGGGGGATTTTGGATGAAAAATTAAAAATAATGCAAAAGTAGTCCCAAAATATATGTCAAACGGTCGCGGTGATGTCAGCAGTGACGAGTTGAATCGAAACGACGCCCCTTCTTGTGAGGCGAGTCGCATATCTCGGAAGATGAAACGATCAAAGGAGGCGAAGGCCACAATCGAAGGTCAGAGAACAAGTAGTCACGCACAGTGTTGGTTGTTCATTGATCCCACAACGAATCACAGTACATAGAGTAGGCCCGTGGAATCATTCGAAAACCAACGTCTGAAATGCAAATCAACATTCCCGAGTCCGCGCCACACTAAGTTATCAAGGGATGCCGTGGAGCAGCGCGATGAGTTCATGCATCGTTCTGGTCTCTGGCGGAGAGTGCGCAACATATTTCATAACGGGACTGGAGACCTGCTGAACAATACCGACGGCTTCCTTGAAATTCTCAGAGTGCGGGGGGCCGAACGGTCATTCCTTGTCCCCGGGTGCGTGGCTGAAGTGAGAAGTCGTGGTGAGGATTATGTTTGTTGTGTTGTTGTTGTAATTGTTGTTGGTGTTGTTGTTGTTGCTGCTGCTGCTGCTGCTGTTGTTGTTGTTGTTGTTGGTGTTGTGGTTGTTGTTGTTGTTGTTGTTGTTGTTGTTGTTGTTGTTGTTGTTGTTGTTGTTGTTGTTGTTGTTGTTGTTGTTGTTGAATTATCACTACTGAAGAATAAGTATAGTTATATAGTTGATCCCCCTCCGATGCACATTGTATTGTTCAATTGAAGTGCCCCTCCCGGCGCTCGCACCCTGTTTTTCATCAGGGAAAGTTTTCTTCTTCAAACAATGTTGTTGGCCCCCAGGTTACAACAACAACGGCTCCCGCTTGAGACTTCCGCACAACTTAGCCAGGACCCCCACTCCCGCCTGAGACTTCCTCGCATTTGATTCAGGAATCGCGCTCTCGTTTGGGACTTCTTTACAATCTATTATGGAATCGCTCTCCCGGCGCTCTGGAGTCGCGCTCTCGCTGGAGACTTGCTTGCAATTTACGCAAGAGAAGCGCCCTTGAGGTGGAATTTCCCGCAATATACTCAAGCGCCGCGCTCCCGACAGTCAGGCACCCAGGAGTCGCGCTCACGTTCTACGACTCCCTCACATATTATTCAGGAATCAAGATCTCGCTGCCCTTCGTGGCCCCGTTGCAGCCTTTCGTGGCCCCTTCGCTGCCCTTCGTGGACCCGTTGAAGCCCTTCGTGGCCCCCTCGCTGCCCTTCGCGGCTCCTTTGCAGCCCTTCGTGACCCTCTCGCTGCCTTTCGTGGCCCCGTTGCACCCCTTCGTGGCCCTCTCGCTGCCCTTCGTGGCTCCCTCGCTGCCCTTCGTGGCCCCGTTGTAGGCCTTCGTGGCCCCCTCGCTGCCCTTCGTGGCCCCGTTGCACCCCTTCGTGGCCCCCTCGCTGCCCTTCGTGGCCCCGTTGCACCCCTTCGTGGCCCCCTCGCTGCCTTTCGTGGCCGCGTTGCAGCCCCTCGCGGCCCACTCGCTGCTCTTCATGGCCCCGTTGCACCCCTTCGTGGCCCCCTTGCTACCCTTCGTGGCCCCATATATGTCTGCCCTTCGTGGCCCCCACTCGTTCGCGCCCGTCGTGGCCCCAGATGCATGCCCTTCGTGGCCCCTCTGTCGCTCTTCGTGGCCCCCGCGCTGCCCTTCGTGGCCCCGTTGCTGCCCTCAGTGGCCGCGTCCTTGCCCTCCGCGGCCCAATATGCGTATGGCCCTCGTGGCCCCCGCTCGTTCGCGCCTGTCGTGGCCCCATGTGCATGCCCTTCGTGGCCCCGCTGTCGCCCTTTGTGGCCCCCTCGCTGTCCTACGTGGCCCAGTTGCTACCCTCAGTGGCCCCGTCGTTGCCTTCTGTGGCCCCGCGTTGTCTGCCCTTCGTGGCCCCCGCTCGTTCGCGCTCTTCGTGGCCCCATACGCATTCCCTTCGTGTCGTGGCCAACGTCGTGCCCTTCGTGGCCCTGCTGTCGTTCTCTCTCTCGCTCTCGCTTTCGCTCGTCATCGTCGTCGCCGTCGCCGTCGTCGACGTCGTCGTCGTCGTTGTGGTCGGTCCCCTGTCCGTCCCTCTTGGGGTCGGGCTGCCGCCGATTAGCGTTGCCGCTGGCCAGGCCGATGGTCCGCGGCCGCCCCGCCGCTTGCCGGAGCCTGGCCTGCAGGGAGGAAAAGTATACCCCCCCAAAGGGGTACGATCGAAGACGAAAAGGGCGGCTATCGAGGGTTTGGGAAATACGCGTTAACGGACACTCAAGCAGATAAGAGCGAACAGTCTTAAAATGATTGTTGTTGAGGACTCATTTCTAAACAAGAATAATTGTTGATCTCTGGAAACAGTTCCGCGCTCTCTCGCCTCGACGCCGGCTGCATTTTCTCTGAAAACGAGGCTCCGCTCGACTGTTGGCTTGGGCTTACATGTGGGCCTTAGGAGGCCCAGTTACGACAACAACGGCTCCCGCTCGATATTTCCACACAATTTACCCCGAGACACCCTGGCCAGAGAGGCCCCCGAACTCAGGAACGGCGCTCTCGCTCGAGACCTCCTCGCAATTCAATTAAGTTGGCGGAGGCCCAGCCACGACGGCAAGGGCTCCTGCTCGATATTTCCTTACGATTTACTCCGAAAGCCCCTGGCCAAGAAGGCCCCCGAACTCATGAACGGCGCTCTCGCTCGAGACTTTCCCGTAATTCAGGGAAGTTGGTTGAGGCCCGGAAAAGGCGACAAGGGCTCCCGTTCATTATTTCTCCATCGGTCTTTTGGGAACCCGTGGCCAGAGAGGCTCCCGACCTCAGGAACGGCGCTCTCGCTCGAGCCTTCTTCGCACTTCATTCAACGGCCGAAAAGGAAGAGATTCCCCCAAAAGGGGGTGCAATCGAAAACGAGGTGGGCGGGTATCGAGGGTTGGGGTATACGGGATGCAAGACACGCGTGCCAGTAAGAGCGAATTGCTTTAAATGTGTTGTTGTTGTTGCTGCTGCTGCTGTTGTTGTTGCTGTTATTATTATTATTATTATTGAACATTATTAATTCTAAAGAATAATTATTGTTGGGACCCCTGGTGCACGGCCCCCCTGCGCCGCCTAGGCCGCAGCTACATTTTCATCATTTTCGTGAGGAAGCCTCAGGTAATACGATGTCATCAAGATCCGGTTGTTTTGTTGTAATCCGTTTTCCCTTGCAAAAAACACTATAAAATGACATTTCTTGTTCTAATATAATCAAATTTCAAGAATCCCTTGCAAAAAATAAGGTAAAGTGGACATTCGCGCGCGCAAGACGAAATCCTTCCAAAAGCTTAGTGTTCGGAGCGATTTTAACATAAAAACATCAAAAAACCAATGGTTTTTCAACAAAAAAATGTCAAAATCTCATCCCGCGCGCTCTTGCGGATTCGTAGGAAACCCAACACTTTTTAAACATTTCTGTC